TATATATATATACACATATAACCCAGGAATCACAGTTTCAACTGAAAATGCTTCTATGTCAACTAAGTAACTCTTGTAAACAAATGTCTGCTTTAATTAAAGTTTAGTCATTTCTTAAATATCTAAAAAATGTTTACAGTGAAAAATTAAACATTTTTCAGTAAAATCAAGACACGACTTTTCATGCAGCACAGCTTACCCACAAAACACACACATTCTGTATATAAGAATCTTAATCATCACAATTTTACACCATTAAAAAAAGTAACACCAGGGTCAGCCAGATGTGCATCTATTATCCCCTTGATCGCTTACAAATGCTTTTTCTAACCTGAAGCCCTAGATTTTATAGCGTTACGTGTAAGCTGTGTCACTGAATGCTTACCAGAGTATGACTTTCAGGAGTTAACGAGGAGTCAGAAACTCACCCTTAGGTAACAAATGCAAAACATCCATACACACAAGAAATACAATTACCCCTCCAGGCCCTCTACTATTTTAAGCATACATGCCACAAGAGAGCATACGGAACTCTATAAATGACGATTCGTTATACAGATGCCTTATACATGAGTTTGGCATGGCTGCATCATTCATGAGTGTCCAAGTCTTGAACGTCACCGCAAGTAAAAGTCAGTATGACCTTTATGCCACAAGGCATCATCAGTTACCCTGTGCGCCACGTATTCCAGAAGCGTACCACAGCTATCCTTATTTTCAAATCCAGAAATAATTCTTCACATCCTACGTCAGTTTAGCTCAATTAGAAAAGTGGAAAAAAACAGGCAATGCACTGTGTTTTTAGGGAGGGCTTTGGGGATTTTTGCTTTTTAAAGGGGAGAGGCAGCGTGCATAGGTACTTGAAGGGTAAATAATCAATCCTGGGAGAGCAGACTAGTGGCCGAGTAGAACACAGAGTGCTCAAAGGAAAATAATAATACACTATTGTCATCTACCTCTCTGGCACCACCAAACGTGACATTCACACCAAGAAGGATGGCAGGCAGAATTTGCTGGTCAGCTAGACTGTGTGTCTTCTTTTAATTCTTTAATAGTATTTTAAACAAGGTCAGGCATATACAATTATAATTCTGTTTTCTGACAAACACGTAACTAAAAAGGTGGAACTAATTTCCGTAAGAGCTGAAAGCTGATACCATGTCCTTATTTAGGCAAAAATCCTGCTGACTTCAATGATTTTCATCTAAGAAAGGTAATTGGGAGAAATCCCTTGCTCACATGTAAAAATGTAAGTCTCAGTTCAGCAAGTTACTTAAGCACATGCCTAATTTAAAGCATGAAAGAAATCTGACTAATAACTGGGTTGTTTGCATATTTACAGTTAGGTATAGGTTTAAAACAGACCTGTCTATAAATTAATCACAGAAGAGCTAACATCAAACTTGGGGGAAGGGAGGACACATACGTGTGTGTGTGTGTTTGCGCGTGTGTGCGTGCGCGCGTGTGTTTGCGCGCGTGTGCGCGTGTTGAAGCATCTGTTCAAGTTTAAGCATATAAAACATTTTTCAGCCCAATGACTCCATAGGGAAATGCCTCATACATCAGCTCATCTGACTCAAATTTTCCATCACATTTCCCTTAATACAGTTTTGTCCATAAATACACCATTCAGTTTTCCAAATATAGCTTTTTATTTATAGAGCAAGAAGGTCCTGTAACTCATGTTATTACTTAAATCTCTGGGATTTTCTCTGAAAAGTAATCATTAAGAAATCATTAGCCTAGCTTCCAATATTTAAGTATTGAACTAAGTTATACACATTTGCAGAAAATTTTTTTTGCTACAATATTTACCATTCTCTCCAAAATTTTAATTACACACTTAACATTCCTTGAGAAATGTGTGTTACCCAGGAAATACCTAGTAACATCATAAGAATATCATTTTCCGGCCTTGCCTAACCATACATGTTAGTATGTCACTTTAATTCATAATGCACCCATGAACTTTTACCCTATTTCTTCATTTTGCATAAAAGAAAAACAAGGTTTTAAAAATCCCAACCAGATTTTCTTGACAGTCCACAATTTGAAAAAAAAGCTGCATGTTACTATCTAAACAATGACAAAGATTCATAGTTGTTGTGAAAGGAGCTTAGAAAAGGAAATCTAACAATGCCTTTTCCCCCTCCTAGAAGCATTTTAGAACGCTTAATTCATTTTTGTGGCTTTTAATAGAAAGTGAACAGCCTACCAAAAAAGTTACGAAGCTTGGCCAGTAAGTATATAATTAAGACATTTAAAAAGTAAGGTTTTCTCAGACGCAGCATTTAAAAATCGAGCAATATTAAACACAGTAAGTAAAATCGGAATTCATATAATTCCATCATTATTAACAACTTCAGTCAAAAGAAAACGAGGCAGATTATTGCAGGGTATGAGTACAGGATGGCGGAATTCCACTCCTGCTGATCACAGGAAGTACAAAGACCAGCTGGAAAGGCTGATAATTATGTGGGGTTTTGCAATAACATATTCATTCACAAAGCATAACAAAAAGGATTGTTTCCCTGAAAAGAGGACGCGATACAGTCACCCTCAAGTGGCTGATAGGGCTATGGTCCAGGGACCAGTTCTCAAAAGCGCTTTTGTAATTCAGGGATTCTTCATGTGCGCTACGCAAAGATGCTAGGAAGGAACATATTTCCTCATTCAAATCAGCAGTGTTAAGATTAGAGCAAGCATAAAGGGGAATATTAAAAAAAAAAGTAAGTAGGAAACATTAGTGAAACGCTTATCCCAGGAATAATTTACTTCCTATTAACTAGATTTTAAAAACTCTGGAGCACAAAGTGACTTTGCTGAATGACTGCATGAAAAACAAAAGCTGAAAATCGTTTGGGAAGAAACACCTTCCATCTAATCAGAAACAATGTGTATCTTCACAGATCCCCACAGAATAGTGCAGACAACAAAAGGGTCTATTATCCATCCATCTCCGGTGCTGCTCCTCTTAGTCAAACTATTTAATGATTGTTACTGTCGTCTGAGATTCTGCCACTACTCAAAAAAGTCTGTCTGAGCAATGAGGCTAAAGCACAAATGAGGTAGCGGCCATAACTCATTTCAGGTTGTCAATGTTTAAAAAAAGATAGTGAAAATTGGAAGTAGCATTAGGAAAGAGCCACAAAATTGCCTCCCTCTTCCTGGCTCAGTGCTAGTAATGAAGCTACAGACTCTCTGATCTCATGATTTTTCAATCATGGTTCTGCACTAGCTCAGCTTCAAAAGAAGCAGCAGAGGATGGCTCATCACCCATCACTACTCTATAGCATGGCGCTTAAGACAAGCTCCTGTGACATTTAATTCCTTCAAGCTGAGAAAATATCCGAACTCAAGAACTCAAACTTCCCATTCTTGGAGGGGTGCT